CACCTGGAATGCTTTTCCAACAGTCTTGAAGGACTTCCAACATATGCTGAGCAATTGTTGGCTGCTTTTCCTTCACTCTGCGGTCCAACTCATCCCAAACCATCTCAATTTGGTTGAGGTCGGGGGATTGTGGAGGCCAGGTCATCTGATGCAGCACTCAATCACTCTCCTTCTTGGTAAAATAGCCCTTACACAGCCTGGAGGTGTGTTGGGTCATTGTCCTGTTGAAAAACAAATGATAGTCCCACTAAGCCCAAACCAGATGGGATGGCGTATCGCTGCAGAATACTGTGGTAGCCATGCTGGTTGTGTGCCTTGAATTCTAAATAGATAGTGTCACCAGCAATGCACCCCCACACCATAACACCTCCTCCTCCATGCTTTACGGTGGGAAATACACATGCGGAGATCATCCGTTCACCCACACCGCGTCTCACAAAGACACGGCGGTTGGAAACAAAAATTTCAAATTTGGACTCCAGACCAAAGGACACATTTCCACCAGTCTAATGTCCATTGCTCATGTTTCTTGGCCCAAACAGGTATCTTCTTCTTATTGGTGTCCTTTAGTAGTGGTTTCTTTGCAGCAATTCAACCATGAAGGCCTGACTCACACAGTCCCCTCTGAACAGTTGATGTTGAGATCTGTCTGTTACTTGAACTCTGTGAAGCATTTATTTGGGCTGCAATTTCTGAGACTGGTAACTCTAATGAACTTATCCTCTGCAGCAGAGGTAACTTTGGGTCTTCCATTCCTGTGGCGGTCCTCATGAGAGCCAGTTTCATCATAGCGCTTGATGGTTTTTGCAACTGCACTTGAAGAAACAAAGTTCTTGAGAATTTCCGTATTGACTGACCTTCATGTCTTAAAGTAATGATGGACTGTCGTTTCCCTTTGATTATTTGAGCTGTTCTTGCCATAATATGGACTTGGTCTTTTACCTAAGAGGACTATCTTCTGTATACCCGCCCTACCTTGTCACAACACAACTGACTGGCTCAAACACATTAAGAAGGAAATAAATTCCACAAATTAACGTTTACACCTATTAATTGAAATGCATTCCAGGTGACTACCTCATTAAGCTGGTGGAGAGAATGCCAAGAGTGTGCAAATCTGTCATCAAGGCAAAGGGTGGCTATTTGAAGAATCTCAAATATAAAATATATTTTGATTTGTTTAACACTTTTTTGGTTACTACATGATTCCATGTGTTATTTCATAGTTTTGATGTCTTCGCTATTATTCTACAAAGTAGAAAATAGTACAAATAAAGAAAAACCCTTGAATGAGTAGGATTGTCCAAACTTTTACTGGTACTGTTTATACAAAAGTATGTGGACACCCTTTCAAATTAGTGGATTCGGCTAGTTCAGCCACACCCGTTGCTGACAGGTGTATACAACTGAGCACACAGCCATCTAATCTCCATAGACAAACATTGGTAGGAGAATGGCCTTACTGAAGAGCTCAGTGACTTTAAACGTGGCACCGTCATAGAATGTCACCTTTCCAACAAGTCAGTTCATCACATTTCTGCCCTGCTAGAGCTTCCCCGGTCAACTGTAAGTGCTGTTATTGTGAAGTGGAAATGTCTAGGAGCAACAACGACTTACCGTGAAGTGGTAGGCCATACAATATCACAGAATGGGACCACAGAGTGCTGAAGCACGTAGCGCGTAAAAATAGTCTGTCCTTGGTTGCAACACTCACTACCAAGTTCCAAACTGCAACGTCAGCACAATAACTGTTCGCCAGGAAGTTCATGAAATGGGTTTCCATGGCCAAGCAGCCGCACACAAGCCTAAGATCACCATGCACAATGCCAAGCGTCAGCTGGAGTGGTGTAAAGCTTGCCGCCATTGGACCCTGGAGCAGTGGAAACGCGTTCTCTGGAATGATGAATCACGCTTCACCATCTGGCAGTCCAACGGACGAATTTGGGTTTGGTGGACGTAAGGAGAACGCTACCTGCCCCAATGCATAGTGCCACTGTAAAGTTAGGTGGAGGAGGAATAATGGTCTGGGGCTGTTTTTCATGGTTCCAGTGAAGGGAAATATTAACGCTACAGCATACAATGACATTCTTCCTGAAACTGTGCTTCCAACTTTGTGACAACAGTTTGGGGAAGTCCCTTTCCTGTTTCAGCATGACAATGCCCCCGTGCACAAAGCGAGATCCATACAAAAATGGTTTATCGAGATCAGTGTTGAAGAACTTAACTGGCCTGCACAGAGCCCTGACCTCAACCCCATCGAACACCTTTGGGATGAATTGGAATGCCGACTGCAAGCCAGGCCTAATCGCCGAACATCAGTTCCTTACCTCACTAATGCTCTTGTGGCTGAATGGAAGCAAGTCCCCGCAGCAATGTTCCAACATCTAGTGGAAATCCTTCCCAGAAGAGTGGAGGCTGTTATAGCAGCAAAGGGGGGACCAACTCCATATTAATGCCCGTGATTTTGGAATTAGATGTTCGACGAGCAGGTGTCCACGTACTTTTGGTCATTTAGTGTAATTGGTGTTGCATAAAGAAAACTCTGTACCATGCTTGTTTACACAGCAGCCTGGCATGTTTATATTGAGTAATGATGAATTAGTGTGTGTATTTCCTTTAAATGTGCTTAGAAGGTGTGTGTTCCCTTCCCCTCCATTGCTTATGTTCCCAGCGTGCCGTCACAGCTGACTGAGCAACATGTGTATTTAAGGGGGTGTCTTTGATTATTATGTGTTCGCAACTCGCCACAACCCAGGAGGAGCAAGGCGTGTCTGTGAATCGTCTCTTTCCTGTGTATACTAACAATATAATCCTCTGGTGATGACACCTGTTTCTAATAGATGCTTTATTATATGGAGCCGTTCTGTGTCACTGCTCTGGGAGTTATAGGGGGGTCACACAGCCAACAGGCTATAGAGATTGAGGAGTTGCATTCACTGTAGTTTTAAATAGTTTTGTATGTTTATGTATGGACGGAAATTGTATAGACAAAGCTATTGTCAGTTAGTCACTCTCAGAGGAGGTCACTGGGAATGATATGGGAATGATAATGATAATAGCTGGGAATTGCCATATTCTAACAGGAAGGTATTGGTGCACAGATGTAGAACAGATCCTGGAACAGTCCTGCTGCAGTAGCTGCCCACGCTTGTCTGTCTGTCCGTCCATCTGTCTGTGAATAGGAACAGCTGAGGAAGCCTAGTTGGCCAGTACACTAATGATCCCCATTCAGCTGGTTGTAGATAAAGCAGGGAAGGTTTATGATGATTGTGTAACAGTTATTCTGACGGAGTGGTGTTGTCCAGTACAGTATAAGCGAGGTATTACAGGACGAAAGCCAGAGAGCAGGAACTTAAACTAGTCACACTGCAACTTTGAGCTACATCACACTAAAGATGTGACGAGCGATATCCCAATGACAGATACTAGAGACATTACACATGTGAGATTAGTCCTTTCATCATCCTTGTGGTAGAATTTACCGTTGACTGACCCAAGCCATAGAAACCGTGGCCTCTACTTGCATAGAAGCAGCTTAAAGTGGCATCTCTCCTAACCTCGTCCCCAGGCTCGAATTGCAGGTGCATAGCAAGAGAGCCGGCTGGTGGACAAGATTACATCTCTCCTAAAGTGACAAGACTTACGCAAACTCACAGAAGAGTCCAGTGCACGCAACGGCCAGATGCTGCCAAGAGGAGTGCCATACATCATTGTAAGCTAAAACAGATTGAGCCCACAAGTGATGCATTTGCATGGAGTCAAGTTGAGTGCTGGCAGAATAAATCTTAATTCACAATTTTACTGCTTCATCTTAACATGTCTGCATTAATCTTCCAAAGGGTCAGAGACATGTGGAGGATAAGAACCAATCGCCTTTACTTCTTCTGTTGCCAAATATCCAGAATATTTTATTTATTTTACCTTTATTTAACTAGGCAAGTCAGTTAAGAACAAATTATTATTTACAATGACGGCCTACACCGGCCAAACCCAGACGACGCTGGGCCAATTGTGCGCCGCCCTATGGGACTCCCAATCACGGCCGTTTGTGATACAGCCTGGAATCAAACCAGGTGGTCTGTAGTGACGCCTCAAGCACTGAGATGCAGTGCCTTAGACCACTGCACTTAGACCAGTGCCTTAGACCACTGCACTTAGACCAGTGCCTTAGACCACTGCACTGAGATGCAGTGCCTTAGACCGCTGAGATGCAGTGCCTTAGACCGCTGCGCCACTCGGGAGCCCCAATATAGGCTACATCATGAGTTATTTAGTCTGGCAATTAACTCATAATTGTGGATGGAAAACTATGTCCTGCAAACTTTATCTTCATAATTCACCTCAATTTATTTTATTTACATTTGTGTGTCAAAGTGTACAAATGAATGAGGTTACTTCACAACATAAAAAATACAGATTTATGATAAATGTAAAAAGTGCATTCAACATTAAATCCAGTGCATCAAATAGCTAATAAAACATTACCCAGATTTGACCAATTTACTGATTCAGGCTAAAGTAAATCAAATCTATATATTTCTACAGGTAGTTTTTGTCTTCTGACAATGGCTATTAAAATATGCGTTTATATTATTATAATCTCAGTTAATTGGTCAGCTGCTGGATTAAGTTCTGGGTCCAAAAGTGATAAAGAAATGCTAGAACCAGGAGCTCCAACCTCTCTCTTTTCAAGTTACGGGCCGAATGTCCGCTCCCTTCCAAAATTCTAAAGACACTAACACCTACGAAATCGTGATTTGTCCAAATAACCAGTGATGAAAAAAACTTGAACACCGGAACTACTGCTGCTCGTTATACCACGCATCCCATAGATTCTACGGTACCAGTTATGTTTACGTGGATCTGTCCACGAGATATTAATATTGTTATAACAGTAAAGCTGTAATTGCAACCAGTACACATCCCAAACAGTGGATGGCAGTGTTCTTTGTGTTGGCGGTGGAGGAGCTAGAGATTATTATTTCTTGCCTGCAGAGACCGCAGTCACTCCCACAGAAGGCACAGGAGCCCATGTCCTGCATCACATCCGAGTTGTAGGACCTCACTGCTTTACGCCCTATAAGATATCGAAGAGGGAAATATTGTATTGATAAATATTGTATTGATAACAAGAGAGACTGAGTCTACGCATTAGTGATTGTCTGCTGTGATAGTAAAGGTACTTACTTGGTTCATAGTAGTCGTACACCTGAACCACAGCATCTTGCACATGTGACACTTTGAAGACTCTTATCATTGGGATTCTGATGCACACCTCTGTTGTGGTCAACTGCAAATAAAAGTCATGAATTAGCTACACAATCAATAGATGACACAAATTAATTTTCCAACATACAGCAAATACAATGTGTATTTCCTCAATTCCACCTCAAACATCAATGCTATTGTATTTGAACATGAGATGTACAATATGTAAAGTCAACTTACTGAATCTAAATAGAGGCTGACTTTCCCAGGAGAAGCCTCAACTTTTCTGACCAGGTCTCCCGTGGCAACAGCCTGTGGCATGAGGGTGAAGCCACTCAGCACATCCACATCCACCAGCACCATACCTGTCTGAGCCATCTTCTGGCTCTCCAGCAGCCTAACACAGAACAAATACATGATTATATGAACAAATACATGATTATATGAACATATTTCCATCAGACATTTATCAACACATACAACTGTCTAGACAAATTGAGAATAGTGGCTCAAATTAGGAACACGTCTTGATGCCTGCAAGAGACAAAGAATGGTTGAAAACAAGTCAGCCAAACATCTCCATAGAGATGGACACTTACCTGGTGCATATGGATAACATGATATGGTCCAGGTCATCCTCATCATCTAACACTTCAACATCCAGAGAGAAACCTTCATGGTCTGTGTCATCTTGGCTCCTCTCAGACAGCACTCTGTCCTCTATGTTGTAGAACACATTCATCTGAATGACAGGAGAGGAGGTAGACGTCGGTGTATATCTGAGTTACATTGTAATTACTATAGTAACATCTTCTATACATAGTACTGTATGACTTGTTATGTGCAACTACAATACCATAATAAACAAAAGAGCTGGTCAGAGACAGAACAAAGAAAGAATCACAATGAAAAAATGTAATTAAACACTTTTTTTTTAAATCCCACAGACAAAAAACAACATTAAACTTCATTAAATTGATAAGATTTCAAAAACAAGAAAGCTATGTTTTTTCAGTCAATCTGAGAACGTGTTTGAAGAAATGGCCAAATCCTCTGTGGATTTGTTTTCACTGATTCCACAATGGAACACAGCAGATAAGGGCTCCCTGGGGCTGGAGAGATGTTTAGAGTGGCTCTGTAACAAGATGTTTAGAAGGGGTCTGTAACAAGATGTTTAGATAGGGGCTCTGTAACAAGCTGTAGAGAGGGGGGCTCTGTAACAAGCTGTAGAGAGGGGGGCTCTGTAACAAGATGTTTAGAGGGGGGTCTGTAACAAGATGTTTAGAGGGGGGTCTGTAACAAGATGTTTAGAGGGGGGGCTCTATAACAAGATGTTTAGAGGGGAGGCTCTATAACAAGATGTTTAGAGGGGGGGCTCTGTAACAAGATGTTTAGAGGGGGGGCTCTGTAACAAGATGTTTAGAGGGGGGGGCTCTAACAAGATGTTTAGAGGGGGGGGGCTCTGTAACAAGATGTTTAGAGGGGGGCTCTGTAACAACATTTTACATTTTAGTCATTTAGCAGACGCTCTTATCCAGAGCGACTTACAGTTAGTGAATACATATCTTTTTTTATTTTTTATACTGGCCCCCGGTGGGAATCGAACCCACAACCCTGGCGTTGCAAACGCCATGCTCTATTAACTGAGCTACATCCCTGCCGGCCATTCCCTCCCCTACCCTGGACGACGCTGGGCCAATTGTGCGCCGCCCATGAGTCTCCCGGTCGCGGCCGGCTGCGACAGAGCCTGGATTCGAGCCAGGATCTCTAGTGGCACAGTTAGCACTGCGATGCAGTGCCTTAGACCACTGCACCACTCAGGAGTATACAAGATGTTTATGGGGGTCTGTAACAAGATGTTTAGAGGGGGGGCTCTGTAACAAGATGGTGCTTGCCTACGGAGCTGTGAGGGGAACGGCACCTCCGTACCTTCAGGCTCTGATCAGTCCCTACACCCAAACGAGGGCATTGCGTTCATCCACCTCTGGCCTGCTGGCTCCCCTACCTCTGCGGAAGCATAGTTCCCGCTCAGCCCAGTCAAAACTGTTCGCTGCTCTGGCACCCCAATGGTGGAACAAGCTCCCTCACGACGCCAGGACAGCGGAGTCACTCACCACCTTCCGGAGACATTTGAAACCCCACCTCTTTAAGGAATACCTGGGATAGGATAAAGTAATCCTTCTACCACCCCCTTACCCCAACCCACCACCCCCCCCCCCCCCCCCCCCCCCAAAAAAAAAAAAAACATTGTAAAGTGGTTATCCCACTGGCTATAAGGTGAATGCACCTATTTGTAAGTCGCTCTGGATAAGAGCGTCTGCTAAATGACGTAAACGTAAAAAATTTAAATGTTTAGAGGGGGGGCTCTGTAACAAGATGTTTAGAGAGGGGGCTCTGTAACAAGATGTTTAGAGGGGGGTCTCTGTAACAAGATGTTTAGAGGGGGGTCTCTGTAACAAGATGTTTAGAAGGGGGGCTCTGTAACAAGATGTTTAGAAGGGGTCTGTAACAAAGGAATAAATTAAAGGCAGTTGGAAGCAGGACCTTCCATCATATCCTCTCTGCGATACAATCGGAGCCGATTTAACATGGACCGGACGCTATGTGTTCCAGATGGTAATTGCCGTATTTGTGGTCAATTACCACGTTTTTGTGTTGACCCGTCTCAACACAGGGTTCATTCTGCATTGTGGCGGGCAGATCTATCATTCACAGCTGTTGCCTTCATTCACTCTGGACATGGTTCTGAGATTACATGGAAAGCTAGTGAGGAGACAACCATTTTAATGTATGGCCATTCAATCTGAAGTGTAGGATTAATTGTAGGCCCCCTCCATTGCCTGTATGAGCATACCTATACATTATTCTATGATAGTGGGTCCCAAACAGGGGTACTAGGACCCCTGGGGGTCTTGGTCTATCCACAGCGGGTACTTGAGAAGACGCATGAAACCATTGGCCTACTGGTAAAATTCACATAAAGGGGTACTTCAGGGGTATTCCAGGCAGAGCAAAATTCTGTTGGTGGTACAGTAACCGGAAAAGGTTGGGAACCACTGTTCTATGACATAGTTATGTCATCACATATCATAAATGTCAAGCACAAATTGAAAATGGGATTCATAGCTATGACTTTAGACATCCAGCGATAACTGAGTGGCAATACCTGAAATAAGACGAATCCTCTTCCCTCCATAAATACATTGATGAGTAAATCTTGTTCAGCGTCTACCTGGAAAAATACAAAATCTCTGTTAATACTGTACTGCCTTTAAACTATACATTATGGTGGCTGTTTACCTGTGTATGCTGTTAGATGATAGATCGTTGAAATATGGCATGCAACAACCATCTTGAACTAGACAAAGACTACTATGGCCAAATGTTTTACCTCTTTGCGCTGATGTACCAGGTAGTTGGTGGAGTTGATGTTGAAGTGGGACACTGTAGGTGAGACTGAGGTGGACACTTTGACCCCCAGCTCAATGGCATCTGCCCCACTGAAGGCAGCGTAGACAGACAGGGCTTGTAGGGCTACCACTGTGTCCTAAGAGAGGAAAGGGTCAAAGGTGGTATCATTTTGGAAATCCACCCATCAGGGATAAATCTATCTTATTGACAGTGAAAAGGTAACTTTAAGACAGAGAGTCATACAAAAACAGTGGCATGAAGATAGAGCGACTAGAGACGGTCTTCTACAGTATGTGAAGTTAGCGTCTACCTGTGTGCTCCCGTATCCCCCCAGATGGTTCCTCTGCTGGCTCAGCCACTTCATGAGGGAGATGGCCTCCACCACACTGGCCCGCATGTATAGCGCCAGCAACACGTAGGCAGCCATCTCCATCTCTGCTGAGCGCGGCTGCCATGAGTCAGACACCTCGGCACTGGACGACCTCCAGGTCTGGACCCCATCTGGAGGGGACAGCAACAGACACCAGGTCAAACAGTGTCTCACAGGTAGATGGGCTGATGTCATCATCACTATGTACACATTACGTACGTTATAAGACCAATGTCGATGATTGAGACCATACTGTTCCTCAAATGACCATACTGTTCCTCAACTGACCATACTGTTTCCTCAACTGATCACTCAAAAACAATATTGATTGTCAACATTTTGTCATGGGCTGTAATCCATCTTCTCTCTGTGGCACATATTGACAACTTGTAAACAACCATAGCTAATTCAATAACAAATTACCTCGAATATCAGCTCTCCTCATGAGCTCAACCAGGGCTGTGCCTGCGCTGAGACTGTTAGCCAGAGACAGGGCGTATGCCACCAGACACAGGCTGTAGTTACTGGACACCCCACTAGCCACTTCGCCCTCCAGATAGCTCCTGGTCAGGGACACGTTGCCCGGGAACATGCTCTACACACAGACAAGAATGGAGGATGGCATGAGACAGGGACACATCAAGAGAGACAAGATGGTGGCCCAAGGCTGAGACTCCTCAAGTTTTTAGATTGTCAACCTTCTTCTGCTTACACTTTGCTTTAAAGACTTGAGAGTATCAAACTCACTGAACTTTCCTCCACACACTATGATTCTACAGAAAATGTGCTTTCATCATGGTTCTCCTCACCACATAGGCCTGGTCCTCTAGCAGTGTCATCAGTACATAGGAGGTGAGAGAGATGGGTCCATCCAGGCCTCCCTGCAGCTCAGTGTGAATGACCCTGCCCACCTCGATGAACTCTCCCTGGGATCCCTGCTGCTGGACCAGCCAGCCCATGGCCCTGGAGAGAACAGTCTGGTCAATCTGCATGAAGGATCGGGCCTGCAAGAAACACCTCAGGACAAACGCTGTCAGCCTGGACCAGGGAGAGAAGAGTTTGAGAACGGATACACTTTGAAATTATTGGCTTGAGTCTGAACCACAGCTATGACAGTTACATTATTATATAATGACCTACCAGGTACTACCAGAAGTGTCGCTGGCTCCAAAGGCACTGAATGATCCGTCATCTCTCTGGAAGGACAGCTCTCTCTGATATCCTGAACAGGAATGACAGAACATACTACATATGAACATAACTCTTCGGAAGAGACAACATTATACTAAAATCATACAGAGTTATAGAGCATTGATTATATTATACTGAGTATCATACTGAACTATAGGGCATGGAGTCAGTGTGTGTGAAAGTTCATCACCTTCCATCATGTATGACAGAGCCTTGCTGCGTATCTCCTCGTATGGCTGGCTGGATTTCACCAAGTGCTGCAGGACATAGACGTTGGGAGCGAAGTTGATCATGTTCTGCTCTCCACAGCCGTGAGGCATCTTAACCAGCAAGCCCAGCCCTGTGATGGACAGGCCCAAGATATCACCTGTCACACCACACCCCACAAACAAGGAGGGAAGGGAGGAACCATTTAGACGTTACACAACCCAAACATTGTGGTGGTAATACAGACGGATTGGGTTTGAGATGGAAGACAGATTCACAATTTCGCCAGAGGACATTTCAGACAAAGCACCCTGAACCGAGAGAAGGAAAATGTGAGAGCAGAGGGAGAGAGAGATGGACAGATTAAAGAGAGGGTGGAACATGTGAGAACAGAGGGAGAGAGAGATGGACAGATTGAAGAGAGGGTGGAACATGTGAGAACAGAGGGAGAGAGAGATGGACAGATTGAAGAGAGGGAGGAAAAAGGTGTGAATGTAGACAAAAATATGGCAGAGAGCCAAAGGACAGAGAGGAAGAGACAGAAATGAACCTTAGTGTTCAGAAAAGATTACGATGCCCTGTACAGTAAACACCACACGCAAAAACTTTCTAGGTTAGTATTCTACCATGACAAATACCCAACATCTCTGGACCTGATTGGTGATGATAACAAACAACCCAGCAGCTGCTCGGAGTCGGCTTGCCACAAATATTGTTTTGATAGCCCTCATTTCCGTTTCCATCATCTAACACCCAACATGGTAAATGACAGCTCTTTACTGGACAATCATGTGCCTGCATCATGCCCATTGTCTAAACACAAAATGAAACATGGGCGTATGCTGCGGTTGAGTTCACGACAAAACTAAACAGAGCTGTGTTGGTGATAACAAACAAAAGATGGATGGTATACAGTAGGGCAGGGTACATACCAACCATTGCCACGTGAGCCCTCTCGCTGCCTGGCACCACATCTGGAGGGAAGGAGAAGTGGAGCTGTCTGGACAGGTTACGCTTTGACGGAACCACCTCCAGAAACACTGTCTCTGAGAAGGACTGTTCTTTGCCCTCGGGCTGAGAGAACACACACACAGACAGCGGTTACGGGAGGAGTACCAATTGGAAATATACACTGAGTATACCAAACATTAAGAACACCTTCCTAATATTAAGTTGCACCCCCCTTTTGCCCTCAGAACAGCCTCAATTCGTCAGGGCATGGACTCTACAAGGTGTCAAAGGCATTCTACAGGGATGCTGGCCCATGTTGACTCCGATGTTTCCTACAGTTGTGTCAAGTTGGCTGGATGTCCTTTGGGTGGTGGACCATTCTTGATACACACGGGAAACTGTTGAGCGTGAAAAACTCAGCAGTGTTGCAGTTCTTGACACAAACTGGTGTGCCTGGCACCTACTACCATACCCTGTTCAAAGGCACTTTTTTTTGACTTGCCCATTCACCCTCTGAATGGCACACATACACAATCCATGTCTCAATTGTCTCAAGGCTTCAAAATCCTTCTTTAACCTGTCTCCTCCACTTCATCTACACTGATTGAAGTGGATTTAACAAATTACATCAATAAGGGATCATAGCTTTCACCTGGACTCACCTGGTCAGTCTATGTCATGGAAAGAGCAGGTGTTCTTAATGTTTTTTATACTCAGTGTAGTGTTAAATGAGTGATTTACTGGGGTGTTCTGAGGAGAGAGGGGTACTGAAAGGGGTGCATCAAAAGACAGAGACAGACACAGTTAATATTTTTACAGGCACCAAGAATCCATTTTATAACTTAGAAAACTAAGTTATTCAGCCACGTTGTACCTTCACAAGCACTTTACGAACAATCTTCTCCGTGGCCTGTCCAGTCATTGCTTTCACAGACATTGTTATCTCTCCAAAAACCAGAGGCCTGATGGGAAAGAGAGCGGTGGCGCCGCCCTGGCTCCCCACAGTCACTCTACGTGCGTTCACCATAGAAACAAGGTCTCTATCTGCCAGAACAAACTCAAAGCGCTGGCTCTCAGCAACCACCACAATGACCTGTGGAGAACAACAGGAATGGGAAAACAATTGAGGATGGATCACTTACATCCAGGAAGCTGTTTGATGTGGTAGATACAAAGAGAATGGGAAGGTAATGATTTCTAAGACGTTTTCACAACATTGTTTAAGAACTTGGTTTTTGGTTCACTGTTAGTGTCACATAAACTGTTCTTTGAAGAAATCACCATACATGGTGAGACTTAAGACCATAAACATATGAGGAGAGGTAAAACCTCCTGGCCCCTTCAGCCAAGAACACTAACCTCCATGTCCTCTTCTAGATGGTTGAAGAGGTTGACCTCGAGGACAAGCTGCTCTCCTCTGGTGATGCATTCTGGGAGATCCAGAGACAGGGAGAAGTCCTTGGACACTGTCAGCTGTGGGAGACAACCAATACTCAGACTATCCTAAAAAATTGAATTCTAGAATATCTGAATATTGCACTGACATTAAATGAAACATACCATCTTCATCAACCATTAATTTATGTCACAGAGCCATACATGTAGTCTATCGGTTAGAGAGGCGAGCCAGCAACCGGAGGGTTGCCAGTTCGAATCCCTAGTCCGGCATAAAAAATCTGTCCGGAACTGATCTGGCAACCGGAGGGTTGCTGGTATCAAATCCTAGATGCCTTTGCCTGCCATTGTGCTACAACAACAGCTCCCCGGGCACCCCGAGGGGCAGCCCCCTGCACCTCTCCAAAACCTGTAAATATATGTATGTATGTGTGTCTTTGGGTTAAAAGCGGGGTTAAAAGCGAATTTCGATTGGACCTTAAAAAAGTAATATTAATCTTAATAAACTACTAGTTAGCTGCCCAGACTAGGTAACTGTGGTGGTAGTGGATAGGTCTTAACATACCTTCTGTGGTTTAAAGGTGAGGCCCAAGCCCAGGTTATCTGACATAACAAACGCCATAGCTCTCCAGGAGGTGATGCTATCTGGGACAACCACACGGAGACTAGTTGTTGTTGACTCACTGATACAGGAAGAAATAAAGTATTGAAACATTCCCTCCCAATAACCCTGATGTTTTCAATAGTGGTGAATGTAGACTGTATCCTCAAGTGTATTCCCGCCTTGGTTAGGTGCTTCTCTTAAAGCTCACCTGATGTTCATGTCCAGCCACAGCCAGGTCTTAGAGAAGTCCTGTTCCATGGAGGGCCTCCACTCTGGCTGCTCCTCTCTCATCAGTGCCTCCGCCTCCTTATGATCTGATGGATATACAACATAGGTAATCAGAAGTATGTAAGCCTCTGTCACGTAGCCTGTACCACTGTGAATTTAGATGAAGTATTTTCTTTATGTAGTACGCCACATCTCCACAAGAGGGACCCCTGACTTCATCCTCCATCCAGATCACAGAAAGAAGATCTCACATTGTGTGTTTGTTTATGCGTTTTGTTCAATGTAAATTTTTCCAAACATTGTGGGGTGTGTAATTGTTTTCATACCCATTTCAGTCTTCTCAGAATCTTCTGTTTTATGTAAACTGGTATCTGTTAATACCACAAGGTTGCAAGCCTAAGATTTGAAAAGCAAATGTTTATGACAACATTGTACACGAAAACACTATTAGGCCTATGTGTACAAACAGTTTGTGTTTTACATACTTTATATGGAATTTCATCTGCAGTGTGTTCAAAAGTAAATATTAACACAATAGTAATACAACACTTGTACCAAAGCCAAAATTATACAGTATGACAACAGGCGCCTCCATCATTGTCAACTATCATCTATGAAGAAGTGGGTCAGGTAGGTCATGATGTAACATGACATTGTAAATCAACCCAGGTATTCAGTGAGGTGAGGCTTGGGGTTATTCCAGGCTCAGTGTGGTTTACTCAGCAAGACACAATGTGCGGCGTCAGTACCATGAAAACGGAGAGCGGGCTGTCTTTCCCTCCAGTTATTCCACTGTGGTGAAGGGTTATCTCCTCCTTAAGGTATTCAGTAATCTCCCCCAGCACCTGAGAACAGCACAACACTAGAGTTGCCACTACCTCTTAGAAACAACATCATTCCACAACAATACAACTAGCTACATTACAGCCAGTTGGGCCAGTTCTGGGGGAGACTGAAGTTCACCACCTTTCCATTGATACAGAGCCTGACTGCTGAGCTGATGCCCCCAAAACTGTTACAATCACAAGATGAACTACTTAAGGGTTATTCCAGGCTCAATAAGATTTTTTGAGATGAACCACTTGAAGAGATCATTATGATTACAACTATTGTAATCAAAGGGAAAGCCCACAAAGATAAATAAAACTATGGCTGACATTATCTGAAACCTCCTTTATGTCTGATTGAACTGTTCAATGCTTCACAGAAGTCTCAATTTCACAGATTGTTTACAGTAGGCAGGGATTATCTAGATGTCCAGTACAGTTCAGTATTGTTGTGTTCCTTACCTTCTCCTCTGTGATGTCACCGTCAGAGTCAGAGTCCTTGTCCTCCATGGCCACCACCATGATTCCAACAAGAGAGCCAGGTTCAAGCACAAGGACAGAGAGGGACACCTCTTCACCTGGCATCGCCTTCTCATGGCTCCAGCTCAGATATACCTGGAGAAACATGTCCATACAGTATAAGCAAGTTAAAGATGCCATACCTAATCTGTACAACAAATACAGTAAATACTTTGGCTTCTAACAGAGTTGTTAAAATCACCATAGAGGCTCTGTAGCATCATCAGTAAGGTTCACACTGATTTATCTAGTGAATAAGAGTTAGCCACTTTGTTTTGTAGGACTCCATGGGGCTTGATGAAGACATGCATGGCATCATTGATGATCTCTCCATCTGGTAGGACACAGTACACAGTGATGCAGGCCTCTGGTGACCAGGATACTGCAGGGGTCAGAGAGAAGGAGGGAGAGGTCGCTGTCCCAGCAGCCACCACTTGACCCCTGGATGTCACCTGGAAGCCAATGACACAAGAGGTCAGAGCAGAGGTCAACCCAAAGAGCACTGAGGAATCACTACACTTCTCTACAATCTCACAAACCAAGAGAAATACCTACCAGATAGTGAAGCTCAGTGAGTTCGAAAGTGCTCTCTACAGATATAGGAAGAGGTTCTCCAATCTTGAACATAAAATGCAAAAAAATATTATTTTCATCAACTGTATACCATAGTCGGGTACTCAACTCTTACCCTACGAGGTCCGGAGCTTGCTGGTTTTCTGTTCTACCTGATAATTAATTGCACCCACCTGGTGTCCCAGGTCTAAATCAATCCCTTATTAGAGAGCAACAATGAAAAAACGCAGTGGAACTGGCTTCAAGGTCCAGAGTTGAGTTTGGTGATATAGAATGGATGCTGATATGTCACCTGTGGTGGAGAGTGGAGGCGTTGGATCTGGATGTCTGATCCACTGGGAGAGGAGCGGTTACTATGGTACAGCTCCAGGCTGTCCTCACTGCCCATGAACATGGCCTGCAGAGAACAAAGGCCCAACCTCATCTTCTAGTGTCACGTGACAGAAAAGGTGCACACACAATATTCTCGGTTCTGGGTGCTGAGATTATAGCTCTTGTGGTGCACATGTTCATTCAATCATCATAGAATGGTGACATGGGATTGTGTTGGATTAGATCAATCTTGAGCTACAGCAGGGCTGTCCAACCCTGTTCCTGGAGAGCTACCCTCCTGTAGGTTTTTGCTCCAACCCCAGTTGTAACTAACCTGATTTAGCTTATCAACCAGCTAATTATTAGAATCAGGTGCGCTAGATTAGGGTTGGAGTGAAAACCTACAGGACGGTAGCTCTCCAGGAACAGGGTTGGAGAGCCATGACCTATACTATTGAGATTAATATCTGTGGTTCTCTTACTAGGTCAAGTATACCTTCTGTTGTGTATTTATTGTATAGCTTAACTGCTTACCCTCACTTGACAACTGAGTCTTGATTAATATCCATTCAGCTGAATTGCTGAAAGTGAGTTTTGTTGTGTATTGGGAGATTCCTGTGGTATAGAGAGTAGCTCATTGAAAAGTGACTATTCACCTGGATGAAAAGCATCTCTACTTGTTTGTGTAACTGGAACTCAATGTGTACGATCCCATCCTCAGGCATTGGGAGAGTCAAGCGTCTATAGCTTTCTATGTCCTCCATCTTGTCTTGTGGAGAATCGGAGTTGAAGGTTTCTCCCTGGTCCTGTCTGATGGGCTTAGATGTTCTGTGAGCGATGTCAATGAACACAGAGTTCACCCGATCCTCTGGAGTCAGAGGCTCGTTGTCATACCTGGATATTTTCAGCTGAGGGATACAGGAAGGTGTAGTCTGTGATTCATATAGCATCATTAAAACAGTGAACTAGTGGTACCAAAGGTAGAGGTATGTATTACTCCAAGCCAATAAATATTTACCACTCACATGTGTTGAAAAGTTTAAAGATGGCTTCAGAACATGTGGGAAATTGTAGAATTCAAGGTGGTATGTATTCTCCATAATGTGCACCACCACGGTCTTATTGGTTTTGAGTCCTTTAGGATAAAAGACAAGGAAATACAGATAACTACCAAAATAAAGGAAACACCGACATAAAGTGTCTTAAAAGGGCGTTGAGCCACCACAATCCAGAACAGCTTCAATGCGCCTTGGCATAGATTCTACAAATGCCTGGAACTCTATTATAGGGATACGACACCATTCTTCCACGAGAAAATCAATAATTTGGTGTTTTGTTGCTGGTGTCGTGGAATACGCTGTTTCCGGCGCTGCTTCAGAATCTCCCTATAAGTGCTTAATTGGGTTGAGATCTGGTGACAGACGGCCATGGCATATGGTTTACACTGTGAATGGGGGCATTATCATCCAATAGCCAAAATAATAGGCAACTGGGCCTGCCCAGCATTTTTTTTTTATGACCCTAAGCATGATGGGATGTTAGTTGCTTAGGAATTGCTCAAGAACACACCTGTGTGGAAGCACCTGCTTTCAATATACTTTGTATCCCTCATTTACTAAAATGTTTCCTTTATGTTGGCAGTTACCTGTATCTGTGAACATTCCAGCTATATTAAATTAATTTAAATATGTGTCAAACTGTTACTTCAAGTTTAGCAATTTTCTCAAAACATGTGATATACAGATGGAGGATCTTAATTCAAGCCAGTTTGCTACATCAGGAAAATGATCCTGCAGCAACAGGAAATGTGAATTATTATGTGGATTATAATTAATGGAAATGTTTGTAGGGGTTGATACATTTTTCGTAAGGGAAAATTCAAAGTGGAAATTAAACTTCAGAAGCCTTTTTAAACCTCAAATACACTACACTTTTTTATTTCCTGCATTGTAGGAAGGTTCTCCTGCCACAGGGTGATCAAAATAAGATCATACATCGGTACCTCACCTGTGGACATCTCTGTAACACAAGCTGTAATATAAAGGCTTCCATCAGTGTGGTGCTGAGAGTTACTCAGATCTGTTGACCTGCGCTGGCGTACAGGAGGATCATCTTGGCTGAAAAGAAACTGGGTCGACCCATGAATCTGAAAGAGATGGTGAGATAGTGTGTATGAGATTCTGGCACCATTGTCAGACAGGTACACCTGTAACATACAGTGCATTCAGAAAGTATTAAGACCCCTTGACTTTTTCCACATTTTGTTACGTTACAGCCTTATTCTGAAATGGATAAAATAGTTTTTTTCCCCCCTCATCAATCTACACACAATACCCCATAATTTTTGCAAAAAATTAAATAATAAACTTTAATATTACATATACAGTGGGGAAAACAAGTATTTAGTCAGCAACCAATTGTGCAAGTTCTCCCACTTAAAAAGATGAGAGAGGCCTGTAATTTTCATCATAGGTACACGTCAACTATGACAGACAAAATGAGAAAACATTTTCCAGAAAATCACATTGTAGGATTTTTAATGAATTTATTTGCAAATTATGGTGGAAAATAAGTATTTGGTCAATAACAAATGACATTTTCATACTTTGTTATATACCCTTTGTTGGCAATGACACAGGTCAAACCTTTTCTGTAAGTCTTCACAAGGTTTTCACACACTGTTGCCGGTATTTTGGCCCATTCCTCCATGCAGATCTCCTCTAGAGCAGTGATGTTTTGGGGCTGTCGCTGGGCAACACGGACTTTCAACTCCCTCCAAAGATTTTCTATGGGGTTGAGATCTGGAGACTGGCTAGGCCACTCCAGGACCTTGAAATGCTTCTTACGAAGCCACTCCTTCGTTGCCCGGGCGGTGTGTTTGGGATCATTGTCATGCTGAAAGACCCAGCCACGTTTCATCTTCAATGCCCTTGCTGATGGAAGGAGGTTTTCACTCAAAATCTCACAATACATGGCCCCATTCATTCTTTCCTTTACACGGATCAGTCGTCCTGGTCCCTTTGCAGAAAAACAGCCCCAAAGCATGATGTTTCCACCCCCATGCTTCACAGTAGGTATGGTGTTCTTTGGATGCAACTCAGCATTCTTTGTCCTCCAAACACGACGAGTTGAGTTTTTACCAAAAAGTTCAATTTTGGTTTCATCTGACCATATGACATTCTCCCAATCCTCTTCTGGATCATCCAAATGCACTCTAGCAAACTTCAGACGGGCCTGGACATGTACTGGCTTAAGCAGGGGGACACGTCTGGCACTGCAGGATTTGAGTCCCTGGCGGCGTAGTGTGTTACTGATGGTAGGCTTTGTTACTTTGGTCCCAGCTCTCTGCATGTCATTCACTAGGTCCCCCCGTGTGGTTCTGGGATTTTTGCTCACCGTTCTTGTGATCATTTTGACCCCACGGGGTGAGATCTTGCGTGGAGCCCCAGATCGAGGGAGATTATCAGTGGTCTTGTATGTCTTCCATTTCCTAATAATTGCTCCCACAGTTGATTTCTTCAAACCAAGCTGCTTACCTATTGCAGATTCAGTCTTCCCAGCCTGGTGCAGGTCTAACATTTTGTTTCTGGTGTCCTTTGACAGCTCTTTGGTCTTGGCCATAGTGGAGTTTGGAGTGTGACTGTTTGAGGTTGTGGACAGGTGTCTTTTATACTGATAACAAGTTCAAACAGGTGCCATTAATACAGGTAACGAGTGGAGGACAGAGGAGCCTCTTATAGAAGAAGTTACAGGTCTGTGAGAGCCAGAAATCTTGCTTGTTTGTAGGTGACCAAATACTTATTTTCCACCATAATTTGCAAATAAATTCATAAAAAATCCTACAATGTGATTTTCTGGATTTTTTTTCTCTCAATTTGTCTGTCATAGTTGACGTGTACCTATGATGAAAATTACAGGCCTCTCTCATCTTTTTAAGTGAGAGAACTTGCACAATTGGTGGCTGACTAATTCTTTTTTTCCCCACTGTTCATAAATATTCAGACCCTTTACTCAGTACTTTGTTGAAGCACCTTTGGCAACGATTACAGCCTCGAGTCTTCTTGGGTATGACGCTACAAGCTTGGCACACCTGTATTTGATTTGAATTGATTTGGGGAGTTTCTCCCATTCTTCTCTGCAGATCCTCTAAAGCTCTGTCAGGTTGGATGGGGAGCGTCACTGCACAGCTATTTTTAGGTCTCTCCAGAGATGTTCAATCGAGTTCAAGTCCGGGCTCTGGCTGGGCAACTCAAGGACATTCAGAGACTTGTCCCGAAGCCACTCCTGCGTTGTCTTGGCTGTGTGCTTAGGGTCGTTGTCCTGTTGGAAGGTGAACATTCACCCCAATCTTGGTTTCATCAGACCAGAGAATGTCATTTCTCATGGTCTGAGAGCCCTTTAGGTGTCTTTTGGCAAACTCCAAGCGGGCTGTCATGTGCCTTTTACTGAGGAGTGGCTTCCGTCTGGCCACTCTACCATAAAGGCCTTATTGGTGGAGTGCTGCAGAGATGGTTGTCCTTCTGGAAGGTTCTCCCATCTCCACAGAGGAACTCTGGAGCTCTGTCAGAGTGACCATTGGGTTCTTGGTCACCTCCCTGACCAAGGCCCTTCTCCCCCGATTGCTCAGTTTGGGCAGGCAGCCAGCTCTAGGAAGAGTCTTGGTGGTTCTAAACTGCTTCCATTTAAGAATGATGGAGGCCACTGTGTTCTTGGGGACCTTCAATGCTGCAGACAATTTTTGGTACCATTCCCCAGATCAGTGCCTCGACACAATCCTGTCTCGGAGCTCTATGGACAATTCCTTCGACCTCATGGCTTGGTTTTTGCTCTGATATGCACTGTCAACTGTGGGACCTTATATAGACAGGTGTGTGCCTTTCCAAATAATGTCCAATCAATTGAATTTACTACAGGTGGACTCCAATCAAGTTGTAGAAACATCTCAAGGATGATCAATAGAAACAGGATGCACCTGAGCTCAATTTCGAGTCTTCTCATCGCAAAGGGTCTGAATACTTATGTAAATTAGGTATCTGTTTATTATACATGTGCAAAAATGTCTAAAAACCTGTTTTTGCTTTGTCATTATGGGGTATTGTGTGTAGATTTATGAGGATTTTTTTTACTTTCCGAATGCACTGTATATCCATTTTGGATCAAACAGTGACTGAATCCTGGCTCAAACTGGATTTATCTATAATGGTTTGCTGTTACTAGTTTCACTTCATAAACGTAGTATGACAGTCTTACTTCTTTGGTTGTATTATGGACAATGGTTGGACGGCCAGAGTTGTACAAAGCAGACACCAGAGTAACTGTGACAGACAGCGTTCCCTGGACTGGCTGTCCATTGGTGTGTCTGGAAAGAAATATAATGTATGTGAACCAAAATGATTTACATATTGAAAGTACATTTTTCTAGCACCTTTAATATCGATACACAAAAATATTGAGTTGGTTGTTGTTTTTTAAGCCTGACTCACTGAGCAGTCACAGTCCCTGAGAGGTCGTCCACCATGGCAATCGCTGGGTCTGTCTTTACCTGCACCTCAAAGTGGGGCGGCTCTAGAACAACAGCCAAAAAGAGAGGTTGAATAGATAATAGTCTGATATGTCAACTATCATGAACATTTCAATGACCCCCGCCCCCCTTTCATTTCTTTATCCAACCCTTAACTAGGCCATTTCCAATCATTAGCTATGTCAACCTGGCCAGGAGAGTCTTACCATAGTAATCCACTATGAACTGCTCCTCTGTGGCCAACTCCTACAGAGAAACAGAAATCAATGTCAATGGGGTGAAACTATATCTGATCATCACCACTGATATGAAAAACAGAATGTATTTGTGGTGGAATACAGTATGATGACAATGCAGAATGACAGTATGGTGAATCATACATCCACCATGGTCTCGATGGTCCATATGCCAAGGTGAGGGGTCTGAGACAAGTGGAATTCTTTGGACACAACACCCAGGTAACTGTCCAGCGATGCCCACCCTTGGATGAGGTTCCCTTTGGGATCCTGGATTACAGGGAAGGTAGCACAAAGGGGCGTCAGTCAAACTGTTTAGAACACAATACAGGCTGCAAATCTATTCATCACCCTGGGTTTTGTTTCGAAGTTCTCACACATAGAGGATTCAGACCCACCCTTATAGAGACATACACACGGCCCTTGTGTGGCTTGCCATCTGGTTGGACGGACAGGACTCTCATTTTGACCGTGTCTCCTGGTCTATAGTTGTGTTTATCAGTCTGGATGAAGGTGGAGAAAGTCCTGGGGTTGGAGCGTAGAGTGGTTGTGTTGATGAATACCATTCGGTCTCTTTGGTATCCCCTCACAAGCAGTGTAAAGGAATACCTCTGGTCAACAGAGCTCTCAGGAAACTAAAAAAGAAAAAGTATATTATGTAATTGAGTTGATCTTATATCTGTGTAATTACGCTGTAATAACTTGGTAATAACCTAAATGAATGTCATGCTTGGTCAAATGTGAATACTTTTTGTATCATCAGTGGTCCTTTACCCACCACTGACCAGCCCAGATATTACCTCAATAGACTATAAATACAGATTTTAAAAATACTCACTGGAGGAAGATCTAGAACTCCAGTCACACCTTTGGAGAAAAAAAACAGCAACAATGTTTAAGTTGAACATCTTCAAAAGTTCTTGCAGACAGAGTCATATAAGTCAATGTCACCTCCTCTAAAGGTGCCCTCTGCCTGGACCAGGCTGGTGTTGCCGTTGGTCAGCTCTGCTGTGACTCTGACTGGGTCATTAGTGAGGATGGTGACAGCCAGGGAGGTAAGGGTTCCAGGACGCAACACACTGGGGGCTGAGATCAAGTATGTAGCACTCATACTGGGAAAGACAGAGAGAGAAGATGGAATAACTTCTACATCAGCAGGGATACACACACTGAGGCTGAGTTTACACAGGCAGACCAATTCTGATATTTTTTCCACTAATTGGTCTTTTGACCAATCACATCAGATATTCACATCAGATATTTTTCAGAGCTGATCTGATTTGTCAAAATACCAATTAGTGAAAATAATTGGTCTTCCTGTGTAAAGCCTAAGAGTGTTCAAGCAATCAATAAAATGCTCCACCCAAAAAAAAAAAAAAAAAACAGATAGCAATTTAAACTATTCAAACATGCTTGTTGACTCCTATGAGTTATGACTATCAGAAATGAGTATTTCTAATAATAAGCAGACTACCTGACAGGGAAGACCCAGTCATCCTTTAAGATTCAATTTAAAGACATGGCAAAATATTTCAAATAAATCATAGAAATATCTCATTTTCATCAAATTGAAGGTGCATTACCTGGAGGAGACCTGAGCAGAAGCAGAAACGACAGCCAGTGCCACACAAACTCCCAGGAGCCAAATCCTCTCCATGTCTTCTCTACTGTACTCAGGGCCAGACTGAAAGCAACACCAGTCCGTTTGGCTCTAATCAACTCCACTGACCCGTACCATACCTGTACAAACCACACCCATAGTGCCAAGCCCAAGGGGCCACAGCCCGGCCCTTACCCAGCCACACACACCGATAGCCATATCAGGTTCATCCCAGTTCAGGTTCATCCCTGTGCCATGTTGTAGGGGCTGAAGATGATCATGTGGGGACTGACACTACATCTCTGCCCAGAGGGACTATATTCAGTAGCTGAATGTTTCTGTCCACAGCTAAGAAGATCCTATTCCACACATGAATTAAATCCACCTTTTTCAGTATCACCCACTTGGAACAAAAGTTTGTTTGGAGCAAAACAACTTCCAAGCCAAGAGCTATATAGAGTAATATGATTCAGTGGTCTAAAGTTTTCATAACTAATTCAAGTATGTAATAAATGGACGTGATCTTTCCATTACCACTTGGGGACAGATTAATACAGGTGACAAGAGGGCAGCACCTGGGTGTGATATTTTCTTAATCGGTCATTGTGTGTGCGTGTGTGTCTGTCGGGGTGTGTGTGTGTGGTGTCTCTGTCGGTGTGTGTGTGTGTGTGTGTGTGTGTGTGTGTGTGTGTGTGTGTCTGTGTCACTGTGTGATTATGGTTCTTCTGTAATCATCTTCGGAAAAACCTTTCATTTGTTTGTTTTTATCACAGTACTAATAACTACAATGGCTATAACTTGTCAACTTTGAAGACACCACTAGATGGAGACAAAGCCCATACTAACCAAGGCCTCCCCTCTGATTTCACAAGTCAAGTCATTAATAAAGCACTTCAGTCTCCCTTCTAGACAGCACTGTATAGAACGAACAGACATTGTTAGCTTTATATTGACCATTTTATTTATTCTGCATCTTTGGCAACATAGTCAGTATTCACATTTTAGTTACATATAAGAATCAATGGATTGCTAGACAGGGAGACTGCATCCATACACTCCTTTTTCCTCCTTCCTTCTTTAAATTACAATCATCAAAGTGCTTATAAAAGTGCATATTTACAGAGTGCTAAAACGGATAGAAAACATGAACATGTTTATAATGGAAGACTGTGGTACTAAAGGCACTGGACACAGATTAGCAGCTTTAGATGGCACTGCTGAGAAAAAGTTTAAGAGTCAAGCAATGGTTTGGTATGATAAGATAGGTGACACAAGTAACTGTCTGATGGGGTCCCAGTGTAGAGACGTTTACAGCAACACAACCTGCACCTGCACTCCTAACCGGAAGGGGGCTCTGTTGTGCCAACAAAGCCTACAATTCTCTACATGGCAATCAATGGCCATCTCAGCTAGTAGAGGAGTGACCCTCACATTCCCCATCCTTCCACCAGTAGCAGTGAACTGTACCTCCCGCCGAGGCTTCCCTCAAACACACAGTCCTTGGCGTTACATCTCAAAGTGACGGTACATGCACTCCACGTATCCCAGAACCCTTTGCCAGTCTGGTCCTCCGGCCCTCAGCATCTCCTCCATGGTCTGTAAAACACAGATGACTTCAATACTGCAGCATCTCATTCACTGTTGAGTTTTCATACAAGCATACAACAAACTAGACAGTCTTTAAATAACACAACATCTGATTAACTGAGACTCACCAGTGATGTTGTGATTCCAACATTCTCTCCCGTCTTAAATGCCAGGCTGAGGTTCTCGCTCTATGGATAAAAGAAGCAGCACCATGTCTGACAGGCAAATCACTGGGTGAGTGTGCAATGCATGTGTGTGTTACATAGGGCTGTTTCGGTGACCGTATTACCACCACACTGGCGGTCACGAGTCATGACCGCAATCAAATTCCACGTGACCGTTGTCACAGTAACTAGGCTTCTCCATGAGAGCCCATGAGTTCATGTGGCGCAATATTTCTATAGGTTATGCAATTGCGTGAGAAAAGAGAGTTTTGATGGCCTCCATTAAAAAGAGCAGTATCCCATCAGCTTTCTATAGGCTAGGCCTACTATATTTATTTCTCAACTTTCCTAATACACAGCACAATAGCACATTGCTTCGCTTTACAACAGGAGTAGCCGACCTGGCTGGCATGAAAATTAACAGCTATTTAAGTACATAAGGATGACATGTATTTTTTCCCCTGCTCGACAGGTGCATGATAATGGTCCATTCTAAATCAAAACTAATTTCAAAACTAAAGAAAATAATAAATTGAGAATAGTGTGATGGTGACAATATTATCACTTGTGAATTATGTATTATCACTTGTGAATGATGCCCAGTGGTTGCAGGCCCCCAAGAAAACAGCCACATGCCTGTGTGTGGACATTTTTCCAAATCAGTTCGCATGCATCATGTACAGTCGTGGGTCCAAAAGTTTTGAGAATGACACAAAGTATTGGTCTTCACAGTTTGGCTGCTTCCAGTGTTTTTCGATATTTTTGTCAGATGCTACTGATGGTTACATGAAGTATAATTACAAGTCATTCCATAAGTGTCAAAGGCCTTTTATTGACAATTACATTAGTTTATGTCAAATGAGTCAATTATTGGCAGTGTTGACCCTTCTTTTTCAAGACCTCTGCAATCTGCCCTGGCATGCTGTCAATTAACTTCTTCACACATACACAATCCTTCTTTAGCCTGTCGTCTTCCCTTCATCGACACTGATTGAAGTGACATCAATAAGGGATCATAGCTTTTACATGGATTCACCTGGTCAGTCTATGTCATCGAAAGAGCAGGTGTTATTTATGTTTTGTATACTCAGTGTATATTAGTAGGCTATACGTAAAGACAAGATTAAATTAAGAATAGTCTGATGGGTGAGAATATTATCAAGTGCTTGTCAAATTGTGAATGAGCAACTGATGAAGTGTGTGCAGCCTGAGCAAGAAACAGAGCAGAGCTCATGCCTTCATGCGAATAGCCGCATGTGCACACTTCATCTGGAAAATATCCTTTCTATTTATGTTCAATTGTATTCTTCATACTATAAGATAATGCCACAGAATTCTAAGCAAATCTTGTCTGCTAAATGAACTAGTGTAGCCCACAGCCATATGGATCAGGACCTAACATAAGGACAACTCAGAAAATGCTATTCTGTTCATCTGAAATATGCAACATTTTCTTCATATCATGTTTCTTTAGACCTGTCTAAAATAAATAATGGATTTATTGTGATGGTGTAGGCGATATTAAATTGATTTATTAGACTTTTAAAAATGTACATGTTCCAAAGGTCTGCATCAGTGGCTTGTAGGCTATGTGTGGAAAGCCAGGAGATGGTAAACGTGTTTATGTTAATTAACGGTAAATTACCGTGAGACGGGCAGATTTGCATGACAATCAACGGCTGAAAAAATGTGATAACCGCCACAGCCCTAGTATTACCCACCTTTTTGTCAGGGCTTAGGGTGCAGTAGGGGATGTGTGAGGGGAGGTAGCTGTGGTACACAGCACAGAAGGCCAGACCATCCGCCCAGCTACTGCTGAAGTTAGTGATGTCAATATTCTGTCAATAGAGAAGGTGAGCGGGGGCAGAGAAAGGGTAAAGACACCACCATAATGAGTGTTGACTGATTACATCTGGACAACATTCTCTTTACATCAGAGAGTCGATGACCCTGTTCAACACACACACACAAACACACACACTAGGGATGGGCGATGTCAACCTTTGTCCTATCGTGATTATGTACCCATTAAACATTGTGATGTGCGATGCTATCGCCCCTATTAAAATAAATAAATAATACAAATCTGCTAAAACGACTGTTGGGCTATAGCGCGAAATCGAATGAAACTGGACGAATCATGACGAAAGATAATGTTGTTGAAAGCCTGGGCAGAGGCAAAGTGCAGACAATGGCAAATATTTTCTATTATTCCTTTCTGGTGGAGGAGCAGAAGAGGTTTGTGTGTGTGTGTGTGTGTGTGTGTGTGTGTGTGTGTGTGTGTGTGTGTGTGTGTGTGGCACGCACATGGTGAAGCAGTGACCGTGTGATGAGGAACGGCCTGTCTTACAGTAGTGAGCGCTAGGTTATAGGACTACATCAAGTGCTGGATAGAAGCAGTCTACAGTCTTCAGAACTGTTTTATTTGCATCATAAAATAGAAAAATGAATAATATTGCTTGTTCTATCTCTCATAAAGCTGTGGTTGAGAATAGCCTACAGTATACCTAGACTTAGGCTATGGACTTTCATTCTTGCTATTTCTGAAAGCCACAACACCTTCGTAGGCTAGAATATTTGGGAAATAAGCTACTGTTCATAACTGTACATTTTCTTAAAGCTTTTATGATAGGCCTAGTAAGAGGATAGGTCATTGGCCATTTAGTTTTCAACCTCGCATAGAGGGATTTTCCCGGCCCGCATGGATCATTTCTGTCTTAATAAGCTTAAAAACTTGTCATTCGATTTTTCTATAGGTTATTGATATTGTTTGTTTTTTCTCATTATTAGTCCTCTGGCTACTAGTGCTGAGCAATTAACCAAAATGTTGGTTATTTTTTGTTTTTTAAACAACTAATTGACCGACGTCGGTTTGATTATTTGAATTCCATTTCAATAATATTTTTTTTCTGTGAGCTCAATGCGCACATTTTGCTGCAGTTTCTCTACAGATAAATCAGATCATATGCCCAAACTGTGCGAAGTAGTAAGGAGTTGTAGTTTCCAACAGGCCAATGTTCTACATAGTTTAGCGCAGAAAACTTGATAATTAACTACAATGACCATAATCCATTGTCAGGTCTGTGCGATCAAGATGGGATACATAGAGAGCAGTTTCTTCGTGATGTATCTCTACCTGAAAATACATGATCTAAGTGTTTGATAGTTGGTATTCAGCAGTCATAAAAGTATGCCTTATTTACTTTGAAGAACTACAAAATAGTGATTTTGTCAGAAAGCATAGATAGCAGCTCTATAGAGATGAGATGATGACTTGGAATGAAATAAAGTCATAAAATAAAACAAATGTAAAACAAATGTAATATCCACAACTAAATATTTTACTAAAGTAAAGTAATGTGAACAACTAATGGTTAATAAGTGATCAGCAGTCATGGGCAGTCACTACCATTATGGGACTTTTATTAATAGTTTTATTCTGTGTTACAGCACTCAACCCACATAATGCAGTGTGCATTTAATGTAAAAATAATAATAATTGAAACCGAAATCGTGATTATTTTTTAATAATCAAACTGAAACCAAACGGACCTCAAAAGGCACTAATCGCTCAGCACTACTGGCTACCTTACATTTTTAGGCTATTCAAATAAGTTTGAGATGGAACGCCGTTTCGTTCATTGTTTGATCGGGAGAAAGCCATGCATAAACCGATGAAGCGTAGCCTTCTGTCATATTCATCCTATCGAATGGAGAGAGAAGGGGATATAGGCTACGTTTTTTTTTTTTTTTTAAACAGGTTTTAGGCTACTATAGACTGATGCCCATGCATCTGACAGAGAGAAAGAAACTATATTTTCTGACTGGACATTTTGCGCTGCTCTGTCTGACCTACATCCCTCTCTTGTGTAGGCCTATAGAACATATCTATTGAAATAAACTATAGCAAATAGGACAAGGCAAATTACTCAGAATGTCACTTGTGTGAATCCCTACGAGACTCCGTTTTGGGTCACATCACGATGTCGTCACCAATCATCGTCGATAGACGATGCTATCATAATAATCACCCAACCCTAACACTAACAAACACACACGTTACAGTACCTTGTAGCCCTGAGTGCGGCTCTGACACCAGCGCAGAAGAGAGTTCCTCTTGGAGCCTCCATGGCGGCGTAGCAGCAGATTGAAGCCATCCTGAGACCTGGTCTTAGAGGTCTTGTTAGGGGGCAGTTCTGTCAGGGTGGAGTTGTACTGGTTCAATGCCCCCTCCTGTTTCCCTGGAACACACAGATATGCCAATAGAAGGTCATTTACCTAACTTCCGTTACTAGACATAAGAACATGGAATGGTGAGTGGACGGACACGTGGGTGATAGGGGAACACACACACAGAACCACACCTGTGTGAGTGCTGGACCAGCTATCTTGCCTTTCCAGCCCTTTTCTTCCTCTGGTTTGGCTTTGGTTCTGAAAGGAGACACGATACAGTATATTGATTCATACGCAATTACATACCATACATTCCTTTCCAATTCCAGTAGATCAGTAAACACATTGACTAAAGCAATGACGCCACCTGTTGGAATAGTAATCGCGTTAAATATTTCCAGAGGTATGACACACAGACAAGCAGTTAGACCCCAACTTTTAATTGCTCACTTTGTTTGTAGATCCAGTTATTATGGCAGTATTGGACTGGGATGTTCCATTCATTACAGCAGGGGAGTCTGAAGATGCGGTTAGTCTGGAAAGGCTTCTGTGAAATCAAGAAATGTGCTTTGCTATTATTGGATGAACTCAACTCACACAGCCACACTGAGCAGAGAATAACCATTTGTTGTTCAACTTATCAGGGGTTAGACATGAGAGCAAAGCCAACTGTTGTTGATACACTTTATTTCTCAGTTCATGTTTTTTTAAATTATCAATACTGAAAATCACAATTATGTTTTAATAATCTAACTGAAACCATAGTAGTAAATCACAGTTTTAACATGTTTCTACAAATCCATGTCCTCAAGTGCCCTGCCTGTTAATCTCTCTTCCATTCCAACGACCGCTCAACCCTACAACCCTTAATTTACAGCAGTCCAAAATCGGTCTGGACTGCATTTTGTTTGAATAAATAAATAAATAAATAAATAAATCATGGACATTAACCTTCAATACATTGATTTAAGCAGGAGGCTGAGTGTAAGTTCATGTATAGTTGAAATAACACAAACAGGAAGTCATCGTGGTACTCACCTTGCCCTCTCCTGTGTGACTATCCTCCACGTCTCCCTCATGCTACACCCTTCCTCTCCACTCCTCTCCTCATTGGTCACGTTCCTCAAGTACCTGTTGGCCACGCCCTTAGTGTCAGTTCGAGCCTCTTCCACACCTACATTCTTATTCCTTTCTTCCTGTTTCCTCTTCTCCATCTCGTCATCTCCTCTTCCTACTCCTCGGCCCAACCTGCTGATCCCCCTCTCCCTTCCCCGGTGTGTCCCCTCCTGGGGCTCAGGAGTGCTGGTCTCCCCAGTAGCCATATCCATGCCCTGGGTCTTGGCTTGAGCCTGGGCCTGTCCTGGTCCCTGGTTCTGGGTGAGGTGGACCAGTCTCTGCCTGCTCTCCCTCAGCTCTCCTCTCAGGCTGACCAGCTGCCCATCAGTCTCTTTCTGTCTCTGCTGGGCAGCCACCAGCTCCCGCTCTGTATCCATCTGAGCAGCTCTGAGCGTGTTCAGCTCCTCCTCGGCCTCGGCCCTCAACCGGTCGGCCACTGCTACCGCCACCTGCAGGTCAGACTGGAACTGCTGCCACTCCACTCGCTCCGTCTGCAGGAAGGAAGACACTAACAGTTAGCTACTATGAAGAACAATCCAAAGGTTGAATCAGCAGTGTTAGTGCTGGGCTGGAACAAACATATGTATAGTCTGCAGCTCAAGGCCTGGAGTTGCTTAATTCGGTCTTAAAGTGTATTTCTATATTCACACCCAGAGTGCAAGCCTTTTATCTTTGATCTCATATGACATCACTTCTATATTAATTTGTCTACCAGCATCACATTATACACAGCACTGCGCCTCTAGAGACTATGAGCTATTTAATGATCAAATATCCATTTGGCCTTCATAATCTGACTCATCAGTTGGATGGAATGAGAGGCAACCCTTTGACTTTGCAGCTGGCCCATCTAGCGGGAATCGCTCAGTTCTGCCTCCAGGACAAGACTCATCCCAATAAACAGGGAGAATCAAATCACATTTTATTGGTCGCGTACACATATTTAGCAGATGTTATCGCGGGTGTAGTGAAATGCTTATAGTTGGCTAGGAGCTAGGAACAGGGCGACCATGTCTATCGACGCCATCTTGAATTATCCCCGCATCAGGCTATTACCTCATGAGAAGGGTGGATACCAAGATACCAATACCAAGTCCTCTAATCAAACCCAGACTGTGCATCTCAATATTCTAAAGTGGGCTCCTCCCCTAACCTCATCTGCACTGATAGAATTGCACCAAGGTAAAGTTCCAATAAACATCAACCATGTTTTCTTCACATCTCCTGTGTTCTCAGATTAGTGCAAATGCAGGAGAGGAGACCAGGTGAGAACACCACTTTAGACTATTGAGATAGACCCTGAGAGCATGCCATAGCTCTGGACATGCACACCCATTGCCCTGTGGATAAGGGGCAGAGATAAAACAAAGGTTCTCAAACAGAGTTGCCGAGCCAAAAGGTAAACAATACTGACTATTCAAGTTTGGAAATATCTTAATTGTTGTCCAAATTGAGTCATTGACATACTGTAGCCTTGTTCTGTTCAATGTTCTCTAACTATATAGTACTCAAAATACCCCAATTCATGTTGTTAAGTTCAAAATAATACAATGAAAAAATTGCTGAAACCATTCCAAATGAGGACTTGGAAATTTAAAGCTAATTATCTCAGAATCATCTTTTTGCAGATAGAACCTTATAGTCCCAAGCTCTCATATTGAGAAAAGATTTTGAGAACAGCCATCACTATAACGATGGAAATAGTGGACTATCTAGTTACAAAGCATTCAGGTAACATGTACAGATGGACTCGGAGCAGAAGGGGTTTGTGAGCATTGCAATGTGACCCACGGAGAAACGTGGGAGTGTGGAGGAGTTGGGTCGGTTGGTAATTAAATGAAGAATGGATAGAGATGTGGAGGAGGAAGAGAAGAGGCGGAGAAACTGGAGCCAACTCATTTCCTCATCTGACCAGCGACTTAAGACCACAGCTGGGGCCAATTATGCAGTCACTGGAGACACACACACACAGAACATATTCTCTTCCGCCCCCTCTCTATTACACACACCTCCCCCTTCTTTGTCTTTTCCCTTCGAACACAGCCATAAAGTGAAGTTCACCCCTCTCTCTAACGCAAACTTTACAGCATGTAAAACCACACAAACACTGAACAACCCGTTCTTACATTCTTTGATTCAAAGCCACAAACACACAGCCTCACAGAGTTTAAACTACCTTGTTATGGCAGCAGAGACAAACTACTTTTTATTAGTACACATGATGCAACTCATAACGCCAGATGGGAGAAAAGGACAACATGGGAAACCATTATTGTCTAAACCACCACATTATTTTGTAGCCTATGTTCTGAATTCTGTCTGTACAGCTAACTAACTGTCAGTGTGTCCAACTAGGGTACGTCTTAGAAGGGAAACAGGATGGGACACTCCTCAACTAGACAGGAGTGAGATAACACTGTTGATTTTCCCTCAGACACTCTCTCTCTTGCTCTCTCTCTAGCTATCCCTGAGGTACTGACATAGTGACCCACCACAGGCACAGATGCTGACTCTCATACACTGATACATGCACAGTCTCTCCGGGAGTGTTGAGCTTATTCCAGATGTGTGTATATCTCAGTTTGTGTGTGTGTGTTTGTGCGTGTGAGAAAGAGAGAGAGAGAGAGATAGAGAGAAAGAACCATTCATCTGTCCCCACGCCTCAGTTTACATCCACACCCAGACTCCCTAACGCGTACTTGGGGATACATCCTCACTCTGACGTGGCTCTTCTGCAGCTTTACACATTCACTGGGGTGTGTTGAACAACCAGTTCCCATACACTCTGATACTCATTAAGAGACCGGCTCAGTCCCTCTACTTACAAGGCCTGTGGATACACTCACTCAGGCACACTACACACACACCTAGAGAAAATACATACTGCTTATACCTCCCATATATACACACACAAAGCCACCTGACAAGTACACACACAGACACATACACACACACAGATGGTATCTACCTTCTCCCCAGCCTCCACCATTTATTATGCATTGCAAATTTGACACACAACCTTCATTTGGCATGTAAACATATTCAACCCCAGCCTCTTGAGTGTTTGGAGCCAAAACCAAATAGCTCATTCCAGGAAATCTGCAGCACTGTCCACCTGGAACTGATCCCAGAGCAGATCTGAGAGCTATTAAATCCTCGTGATCAGCCCACCCACCCACCAACCAAATGGACAGGCACAATGAAGAGAGTGAGACAGGGAGGCTAGAATGAGGGGGGGCGGGGGGGTAGAAAGAGAGGGATAAGAGACAGGGTGGATGGACGGGAGCAACAGTTGTGAAGTCATTGTTGTAGTTTCTGTGCTGAAGGAGGGAGGCGTGGTGAGAGAGGAGCGGTGAACCCTCAGATGTCCAGAGAGAGCGGCACAGGGGCACAGGGAGAAAGAAGCACAGGGTTAACTGCCTTCGCTCAAGGGCACAACAGATTCTTCGAACCAGCGACCTTTCGGTTACTGGTCCAATGCTCCTAACCGCTAGGCTACCTGCCACACAGAGAGAGAGTGGCACAGAGAGAGAGAGAGGCACACAGAGAGAGAGAGAGAGAATTGAAGAATCCATAGACTCTAACCACCAAAAATATACATGATCAAATGCAAAAGTGGAGACAAATTTGACCCCAATAACTACCGTGGGATATGCTTCAACAGTAACCTTGGGAAAATCCTCTGCATTATTATTAACAGCAGACTAGTTCATTTCCACAGTGAAAACAATGTACTGAGCAAATGTCAAACAGGCTTTTTACGACAGACCACGTATTCACCCTGCACACCCTAATTGACAACTACACAAACCAAAACAAAGGCAACGTCTTCTCATGCTTTGTTGATTTCAAAAAAGCTTTTGACTCAATTTAGCATGAGGGTCTGCTATACTAATTGATGGAAAGTGGTGTTAAGGGAAAAACCTACAACATTATAAAATCCATGTACACCAACAACAAATGTGCGGTTAAAATTGGCAAAAAACTCACACATTTATTTCCACAGGGCCGTGGGGTGACACAGGGATGCAGTTTAAGCCCCACCCTCTTCAACATAAAGTTGAAGTCGGAAGTTTACATACACCTTAGCCAAATACATTTAAACTCAGTTTTTCACAATTCCTGACATTTAGTCCTAGTAAAAATTCCCTGTCTTAGGTCAGTTAGGATCACCACTTTATTTTAAGAATGTGAAATGTCAGAATAATAGTAGAGAGAATTATTTATTTCAGCTTTTATTTCTTTCATCACATTCCCAGTGGGTCAGAAGTTTACATACACTCAATTAGTATTTAGTAGCATTCCCTTTAAATTGTTTAACTTGGGTCAAACATTCGGGTAGCCTTCCACAAGCTTCCCACAATAACTTAGGTGAATTTTGGCCCATTCCTCCTGACAGAGCTGGTGTAACTGAGTCAGGTTTGTAGGCCTCCTTGCTCGCACACGCTTTTTCAGTTCTGCCCACAAATTTTCTATAGGATTGAGGTCAGGGCTTTGTGATGTCCACTCCAATACCTTGACTTTGTTGTCCTTAAGCCATTTTGCCACAACTTTGGAAGTATGCTTGGGGTCAATGTCCATTTGGAAGACCCATTTGCGACCAAGCTTTAACTTCCTGACTGATGTCTTGAGATGTTGCTTCAATATATCCACATAATTTTCCTTCCTCATGATGCCATCTATTTTGTGAAGTGCACCAGTCCCTCCTGCAGCAAAGCACCCCCAAAGCATGATGCTGCCACCCCCATGCTTCACGGTTGGGATGGTGTTCTTCAGCTTGCAAGCCACCCCCTTTTTCCTCCAAACATAACGATGGTAATTATGGCCAAACAGTTCTATTTTTGTTTCATCAGACCAGAGGACATTTCTCCAAAAAGTACGATCTTTGTCCCCATGTGCAGTTGTAAACTGTAGTCTGGCTTTTTTATGGCGGTTTTGGAGAAGTGGCTTCTTCCTTGCTGAGCGGCCTTTCAGGTTATGTCGATATATGACTTGTTTTACTGTGGATATAGATACTTTTGTACCCGTTTCCTCCAGCATCTTCACAAGGTCCTTTGCTGTTGTTCTGGGATTGATTTGCACTTTTCGCACCAAAGTACGTTCATCTCTAGGAGACAGAACGCGTCTCCTTCCTGAGCGGTATGACGTCTGCGTGGTCCCATGGTGTTTATATTTGCGTACTATTGTTTGTATAGATGAACTTGGTACCTTCAGGCATTTGGAAATTGCTCCCAAGGATGAACCAGACTTGTGGAGGTCTACAAAAACAAATCTGAGGTCTTGGCTGATTTCCTTAGATTTTCCCATGATGTCAAACAAAGAGGCACTGAGTTTGAAGGTAGACCTAGAAATTCATCCACAGGTACTCCTCCAATTGACTCAAATGACGTCAATTAGCCTATCAGAAGCTTCTAAAGTCATGACATCATTTTCTGGAATTTTCCTGGCTGTTTAAAGGCACAGTCAACTTATTGTATATAAACTTCTGACC